CCCCCGAGCTGCCCTGCCCCAGCCTGACAGCCCCCCACCTGTTAATGGTCGACTTGTGCAGCAAGATGTTGCCGGATTTGGTCCTATACGTGACACTGTTGGGCTTGAACTTGCCCTGCCGGGTCACCTTGCCCTGCCTCACCTGCAAGGATGGAGGAGAAGGTGGGTGGGTTGAGCAAGGAGCTGGGATGGAAGGAGAAGTCATGGCCTGGGGCCCCTTCCCCAGGGCAGCACCTGGATGAGGTTGGGGTAGAGACCCGCCATCAGCACACCCTTCACCAGCTCCTCCTCCTCACTGTACTCGTTGCACTGGGCAGAGGCCAGGGTGCAGTCCGAGGGCTTCCCCACCAGGAAAGCCTCATAAATGTTCTCTGAGAACTGCTTGATGAGTCCTGGGGAGGCAAAGTCAGGGTGAACCCAGGGCCCCTGGTTCACAGCGCACTGTGCACGGGCCCAGTGCAAGTGGGAAGGGTGGAGGGGCTCAGGGCAGCTCGGGACCCGCTGACCGTGGATGAAGCGCAGGCTGGGCGCATAGAGCAGGTTTTCCTCCAGGTAGTTCTCACGAGAGCTGCGGTCCTGCCAGCGCAGCACCTCCTCCCAGCCGGACACAGCCCGCACGAACGCCAGGTGGTCACTGCCACTGTCGTGGCTCAACAGTGCCTTCACCTGGGAGGGGAGGAGGGTGCCAGGGTCACAGGGCAGGGACCAGAGGAAGCCACCTCGGGACCGAAGGGAGAACAGGAGGGCCACGCAAAGACATTGGGTCTGACCTTGTCCACCTCCGCCCGGTTCTGCAGGCTGCTGCTGAAGGGGTCCCGGGTGAGGCAGGAAACGACCACTAGCAGCGGGTGCAGGCAACGGAAGATGGCAGCCAACACTATGGCCTTGGCCAGCCGTGGGTCAGTGGAGATGTGGGCCAGGCGCTGCCCCAGAGTGGTCAGGTACTCCCGCTGGTCCAGCACCCCTGCAAGCTCAGCCGTCAGTCCCGCCCCTGACAGCCATTCCGCAGCCCGGCCCAGCCCTGCCCCACTCACCGATCTCCTGGAGCAAGATCACAGCCTCGTCCACCGCCTTGATGTTTGGACTGTCCACGGCCTTGGAGAGGAACTCCACTGCCTACAGCATGAACGAGGCAGAGCCTGTTAGCCCACACCCTACCTGCACGTTCCCAGGGCCCACTCTGCCCACCTCTGCCGTACCGTCTTCTCTGGCATGTGGATCTTGGCTTGCAGCACCAGGTTCTCAAGGGGCGTGCGCAGGATCTCCGGCACCTGGAAAGGGGCCATCTTCTCCAGCCGGCTCCGCGGGAAGAGGTGGTAGGCAAAGCCTGACTGGCAGCGGCCCGCCCGGCCCCGGCGCTGGATCACATTGGCTCGTGACACCCACACCGTCTCCAGGCAGGACACCTGGGGGAGGGGGCAGGTGAGCAGCCACACAGACCACACGCCTTCCTCCATGCTCCCCTGTGCCTGGCCTTCACCTCACTCAGCTCCTCAACTGCCCCCCACAGCAGGGACAAGGAGATCCCACAGGTGTGGCCTTCTCCAGACACACAGGCCCAGGGTAGATCTGGGCTGGGGCAGGACCAGGAGATGGGTGCCACCTTGGTCTTCAGGTCGTAGCGTTCCTCCTTGTGCAGACCGCTGTCCACCACGTGCACAATGTCATTGATTGTGATGGAGGTCTCAGCAATGTTGGTGGCCAAGACAATCTTGCGCACCCCAACGGG